TCAGAAAATTCATATTTAAGGATGGAGCATTAAAAATATTTTTAGTTTTTATTTTTATTTTTTTAATCGGCTCATATCTTCTTCGTTTTAGTTTGGATTTCAATTTTTTTTGTACAGATGGAACGAGTTCGTTGTGCTCTACAAAATGAGATCCATTTTTAATATTTTTTTAGAAAAAAAAAATTATTGTCTCTCGGTACCAACTGCGTACCATATGGTATCTTCTTCGTTTTTAATTCGTTTTTGAAAATTTTTGCACAGAAGGAACGAGTCCATCATGATCTATTGGATTTACAAATTTCTGGGTGAACAAAATACATGACTAAAAAATACTACATAATATTGCCCTGGTACGGGTGGTATCTTGTGGTACACAATGTTAAAAGTCGTAAATGACTGTTAATATACTTCTACTATCATGTATTCAACCATCCCATAGTCTTGATTTGTTCATACCATAGGTATGCTATTATTTCAATACCAGTCAATACCAAATGGTATAGACTGGTAGGAAATGACCCAATTCTTTTTGTTCCGAAAAATATATCAAAGTGAATATCATTTTGAAGAGCACAATTAATATGATCTAACTATGGAACAAAAATTCGACTTAAAACAAGTGAGAAATAGTCCGTTAAAGATAAGGGGGAGAAAATTAAAGGCTTTTCAGGAGAGAGAGAGAGAGAGAGAGAGAGAGAGAGAGAGAGAGAGAGAGAGAGAGAGAGAGAGAGAGAGAGAGGGAAGGGCACTGAATGATGTGACGAATTCTGATTAAGTTATGTATAGTTATTGACCAAAAGGTTATTGAGAGGATCCGCTCCCGTGGAGACCAACTCTCGATTAGTACTCCAGTCTTGCTGTGCTTTGGCATCGCCAATTATTTGGAGTACCAACAACGCAAAACAAAACTAGATAGGTCATTTGATGATAATGGTATTGTTGACACCTAAAATTAATTTGGCCGGAATTAAATGCCGCATTAATTAGTCTCAGCATTTAATTCGATACCGCGGGTAAAAAACGGTGTTGCATAGAGACAAGCGGCATCGCGGAGAGTTAAAACGATACTGCGAAACAAAAAACGGTACCGCAAGGGAGCTCGGCGGTGCCGCGGATTAGAAACGATACCGAAAAACAAAAGGGGGCCGCTCGTTTAGTTGAGTGTTGGAAAATGAGTTTTTTTCTCTAATTAATTATTATCTTTATTCCTTGTCGGAAGGGGAAAATCGGTACCGCATGGAGACAAGCGGCATCGCGGAGAGTTAAAACGATACCGCGGATTTAAAAACGATGCCGCGGGAGCCTTGATAAGCGGTACCGATTAATTAAAAACCATATCGGGTAAGTGACCAAAATTCGCCCAGCCCAATGTGAGTGCAGACTGGCGGCGGTTCCATGGATTGATATTTTTTGGCTATATTAGCGGTGTCGTTTAATTAAAAAAACTGTACAGCGAGGAAGCCCAACGGTAGCGCTATACTAGCAAACAATAGTGTTTGAAATAAAAAACAATGTCACAAAAGGAAAAACAAACGGAGCCGTTTTGGCGCTAATGATGTCGTTGGTCAATACACAAGTTGGACTAGTGATGGCCAGATTAATTAATTAATATTTTTAATGACTTTTTAGCACGGTGTCGTTTAGTCGAAAACGATGCCGCAAGAGGAAGAAACGACACCGCGGATTTAAAAACGATGCCGCAAGTGGGCCAAACGATGCCGCAGTAGTTAAAACGACAGTATTAAATTTAAAGCGGCATCGCAAAGTTCAACAACATCGCAGAAATAGAAAACAATGTTGTTTAATTAAGAACAGCGTCGCGAAGTGAGAGTTTGACGGCGTGTCAACAATGATGGCCAGTTTAATTAATTAATATTTTAAGGATCAGTTTAGACGGTGTCGCTTTAGCCGAAAACGACATCATGGGAGATATCAACACCGTCGCGGTACTGAAACGATGTTGTTTAATAGAAAACAAAGTCGCAGTTGCGAGAGTTCATCAATGGTGGATTTTGGCTCGGTGTCATTTTGGCCAAGTTGCCGCGTGTCCAAGCAGTTTCACACTCGTGGGAGTTACGCAACAAGGAGGAAGTTACCAGCACGGTTGACAGGAATGAAGACGTGGGAGACAAAGGCGCGAAGTCAGTTACTACGACTGCGGGGAGAAGAGCGGAGTATAAAGATTGGGAAGAGAGAGAAGTTCGGGACGGCAAAATCAAATCTCAAACTGCACCGTCGCAGAATTATCAGTTTTTCTCTCTAGTTTTCGTAGAACCGCTCTGTCAAAGAACTCCTTTGCAGAGTCGTAGTCGTAGCTTGTAGCCGTAGTCGCGGAGGTCTCCAGAGGAACCTCCATAGGAGTAGAGGTAACGTAACTTAGAACACTTCTGGTTCGATTTTCTGGTTATTCGCCGAACACCCTCGTTCGAACGTAGTTTGGAGAGGTGGTGAACCGAATAACGGTTGTTTGATTAGAAGTCAAAGGTGTATCGATTAAATCAACATCGCCGACACCGGGGTGGATATTTGACGATCGTCTTGGTTTCTGTGTAATCGGTCAAATCAACGGCGCCGACTTCGACTACGGATATTTGACGGTTGTAATTGACGTTGTGTTTTGTGTTTACTTGAAAACTGTGCGCATTGAACACGCGAATTTCGCCAACGAAACAGGTATATTTCCCCAGAAAAAACAATATGATCTCTAGCTTGTTGCCCGATCAGCCACGTGACTACTGGACCACTTGTAACTTCATTATATTATCGGAAAACTCTTTGTTCATCTTTGTCTTAAATCATGTCTATGCTTTGCAGTCATGTGTGGAAATGAAGGAGGTACGACACCTTTTTTGGCACACGATGATTATTATTAAATAATAATAATAATTATTATTATTATTAGCAATGGTAAGTTTATATATGCGCATATTACTAAGAGCACCCGCAGCGGCTGTCAAAGAGCCATTTCATTTTGACGTGGCAATCCCATTTGCCTCTGTCATGATTGGAGCACCTATTTCACAAAGTGAAATAGCAAATGGAAGAGCAAGTGGGCTCCATCCCACTTTGTTGTTATTTCCCTTTTTTCCATTTCCATTTCCATTTGCTTTTGGAAATTGTATTTTTAACAAGTGGTAAAATGAAAGGGCATGTGTATCTGTACGTTTGATGCAGTTTTTATGTTTTGGTTTCTTTTTTTCTTCCAATTTATCATTTGTTAATTAAAATTAAAATGCAATATGTTCTTCGAATTTGTCCTTTTAATCGATGATTAAAGCTGTAATATTTTTTTTCAATGAATTAGTAGATTTATTTTATTATTGATAATTAGAAAATTAAAATATATACAATTAAGATGTGATACATTTTAAATTGGTTGAATGATGTAGGTTAGATAAAATGTATAATTGTATTAAAAGGTCAGTTGGGCCCACAATATGAAATAGAAAGTGAATTTCATTGATGTAGAGGAAATGAAAGTGGTATGTAGGAGAAAAACTTGGGTGGACGGGGGCACCAGCAAAGATTGCTGATGTGGTGCACCCACCCAATAGAATTATGCCATTTGTCATCTAATTAATAGGAATTTAAAATTAAAACTTTAAACTCAAAAACTCCCTATACAAAACTTTAATGCGTGCAGGAGACTAGGAAGAGACCCTTTCTCTTTCCTTTTTAATGGCTTCTTTACTGTAGGATTAAACTTTTCACTTTCAGTGAATTTTAATTTATTGAATAAGCCCACCCCTGTACAACTAACGAATGGAAACTGAAAGGTTGAGTTCTCAGTCTCAGCCGTATTATTGTCGTAGGTCGTCGGGTGCCCAGTGCACAGTTATTACGCCAGAGATAGGGGAGATTGTAGCCGGCGAGGAATCGGCGGCGGAAATAAGTTTGAGTAGAGCTGTGACGCCGCCGTGAGCCGGGAGCAACCATGCGTTGTTGGAATTTTGGTGACTTGTCCTAAATCGCTATCGGTTTCCGGGTCGCGAATCAGAGGAGTAATAACTCCGGTCCCAATCAAGATCTGCTTGCGGGCATCGAAAATCGAGATTGAGCCCCCATCTCACCGTCGCCGATTGGCAACTTGGTGAGCAAATCTCTGACGTAGAACCTCTTGACCGGGTTGGGATACGACGATGGCGAACTCACCGTGGGATGCGGTGCAGCTAAAGAATAGGAAATTTTGTAGGGGTGTGTTTATTTAATTAAATTAATTAACCGAAAGGGAAAGTCGTTTATCTCTAAAAAAAAAAGAATCCATAAAAAAAAAAAAAGAAATTCCAAATCAAGCGTCAAGTTTCCTGCACACAGCAGCAAGTCCACAACGCAGTAAAAGAATAGGATTTTTGTTTAAAGTTAAATTGGATAGATGGCATGATGGGATTGGATGAGTGCACCACATCACCAATCCCTGCTGGTGCACCCGTCCCACTGAAGTTTTTCTCGGTATGTAGTGGAATGGAAAAAGTTGATGATGTGGCAGTGGGACACACATATGAAATAGAATTGGTATTTCATGGATGTAGATGGTCTAAACGAAGAGAACCGAATTTGAGGTTTAATAAATTGCCTAGGTGACATGGAATGGAAGCGCCCTATAGCTCAGCCCATGTGTATTGTGTGGGGTCTCTACTCTTGGAGTTAAATGCACTCGCTCATGGGCCCTGGGCTCTATGGTCATCTCCGGATTGAGCTCGTGGGCCTTATCGAGCGGATACAATAGACTTTCCGGTACCCGAGTTGTGTTCTCTTGGGCTTTATATGATTTGGGGTAACCCAACCTAATTTCCCAATTGGATCCCGATTCCCCATTGGCAGTTAATTAATCTGGACAATTAGGATTCTCGTGCCAACCACAAAAAAAAAAAACACCCACGACAAGGAACTAAGAATTCAAGGAAAGCGGTTCCGTCTTTTTTACATTCATGTGGCGGAGGCATCCATCAAATTTTGGGAATTTAAGAATCTTTCAATCGATAACCAGCCACACTCTTCTTCTACCTCATCTGGGATCGAAAATCAAGGCAATAAAGGATCCAGACCAGAGCCAGAGTCGACACCGCCATCGCCACCGGACCCAACAGCCACGCCAGCAGCGGCAAGCTGATACAGAGCACCCTGTTCCCCAATATCCCCAGCTTAAACCCTCTCTCCACCAGCCTCTCCGTGTGATCCGCCGCCGCCCACCTCACCATCACCTCCTCCTCCTCCTCCTCCGCGCCGCCGCAGCCGGAGCGATAGTTCCCGGCGGCGTTGACCAAGAGGAAATTGGCGTCCATGAGGAAGCCGAGCCCCATGGAGCTGCAGAGGAAGCTGGCCAGCAGGCACACCGACGCCGAGCCGTACTTGAGCACGGTGATCCCGCCGGACTGGTGGGACCCGAACAGCGGGGACCGCATCAGGGACAGGTGTCGGCCCGTGGTGTATGTGTTGTTGGTGAGGGCCGGCAGCGCCACGTTGATCATGATGGCCACCGTGCCGCATAGTATCGTCGCCATCTGCCCGTTCCTCAGGCTCTGTACCGCCAGCATTTCCTTCTTCTCGTCCCCCTGCTTTCCACACGTCAGCTTCTCGAATCGTAATTAATTACTGAATCGGTTAAAGAAAGAAGATGGTAATGGTAATTAATCACCTGTTTGATGGCGAGCAGCCATTGCTTCCTCATTATAGCGTGGGTTCCCTGTGTGGTGAGGAAGGGTTTGGTCTTGACGTAGTGCCAAAGATAGGCGTGATAACCCACCATTACGAACACGCTCAACGGGACCAGCAAGGTCTCCATTTCATGTAGGCTCGTCCTTGAATTCGATTCCTCCATCGATCTTTTTTCTTTTCCCTGAGAGAAAATCTTGGCAGGGCAAAGCTTGTGGTTGACAATTAATTGCCTCCGACTAGCAAGCACTCGTATTTTTATATACACACAGAAACAGGGCAGCTTGATTAATTTAATGGCGGGAGTGGGAGGAAACAGAAACACAGTCGTAATGGAGGGATTAGTATATAGTATTGTAGGTTTTGTGGAAGTGGGGAGTTAGGTCGTGATGTCAACAGTCACGGAATTTGTGTGTGCATGCACAACAAACTCTTAGACGTGAGGGATTTGTTTAAGAAGTTGGGTGGGTTGCGATTTATAAAAACCTAACAAAAGACAAAGCAAATGGAGGGCTTTGGTTTTGTTGGCATCTCCAGTCACATACCCATTTCCAGGTTGTGCCATTCCACGGCATTACCCACCGTGATTCACTCCCCACCCCAGCTGAGTAATAGAAGCCAGCCACGCAGCACACTTACTTCGGTTTGGTTTGACTTAATTTGGGTTGTGATGTTGACAAGGTATTTTGGGTAAGTCGTTGATTAGGTCAGGTCGTCGTTGGATTGTGCTATAGGCATTCGGGGCACATTGCAACAAAATTGTCATTAGCAATGAGAAGAAGTGCAGCTGCAATACAATTCGCAGGGCAACGCAGTCAAAAGCGAGTTTCGACGTAGAAACGTTTTGGTGATCTAGAAGCGTAAAATCGTAAGTTTTTAAGTTTTAAAGCGCAGTTTTTAACTACGTAAGTTATAAAAACTTAGATTTTGTGTAGAAGCGTTTAGTGACCTAGAAACGTAAAATCGCAAGTTTTTAAGTTTTAAAGCGCGATTTTGACTACATTGTCGCAGGGGCCAGGAATTTTGAAAGTTACACATAAACGTCCTATTAATTTTATTTTATTTTCATAGATATAGTAAAATAAATAGTCAGAGAACAACACACAATCAAACGCGACAATCGACAAATAGTTGAGTTGTCGATAAAAAGGCATTTTGAGACACTAACGGGCAGCCATGTAGTACATACGGAGAGTTAAAGAAAGAGAAAGAAGAGATCGCCAAATGAATCTCCTCCAGAATTGCGCCACCAAAAACCATGTGCAACATCCATCTCTCGAACATTCCAAATCATAGTTCCACCATTGAGTACCTCACAAGACGTAGCAAAGCAAACCAATTGATTAGGCACCATTATATGGTATATCAAACACAAATAGATGTGACAGACTAAGAACTAATAGCACTACGCATATAGCAATCCGCTCCCAAATGGTTGAGGCAAGTCCATATGTGAAAAGGAATTCAATTATAAAAAAAAAAAACTAGTTGTACATGCCATCCACGCAAGTTGAAGTAAAAGAAAATACTATAAAGATCGACCAGTTTTCCCAAAAAAAAAACATGGTTAAAAATAAAATTAAGAAATAGAAAGGATCGGAAAACATGCTTGCCCACGTATGGAATTGTGGGAGAAGTAACTGCGCAAGAATGAAACCGCCACTCAAGAGTATTGTTGTCACCGAAAAGACTTGCCTTCCATCGGAAAACTCCTTTATGCCCCTGCAAAAGATAGGAAGAATATCTGGAAAAGGATTTAATGGGTGGCGGTAAAGCCAGGATCGGCGACGCATGAAAGCGGTGGGTAGCAAACTGCATCAACGGCAGGACATTAGCGACGGAGATCCAACTGTCGGCGTCGTCCACCATCATCTTGACCGGGAAATAGACCATCACGTCCCTGGCCGGCATTATCGTCAAGCAGCAGAGGCGCTTCCCAATAAGCATATATAAAGGCCAAGAGAAAGCAATCGTCTTCCTTGAATCAAACCAACACTTCACCACTAACGAGATCATCAGTGACATCATCATCGGTGTCGCCAACGGCCTCACCGTGCCCTCCACCCTCACTGCTGGATTATCTGTCGCCAAAATAAGGAAATCAGGGACCCTTGTAACCGCTCCCCTGCAGCAATCCACCACCCCTGTAACCGCTGGCCTCCTACAATCGTCCTCTTTGTCGTTTTGTCCTGTACCAAACAGAAAAGAATGCAACCAACTGGAGAAGGATTTGGCGCTGAAGGAAAACAAACTCAATCACCGCCGAGGAAGAGGGATAGTTACTGAGCGGCGGGGGAAGAATTTTTTTGATAAGGGTGATAATATTAAATAAGAGAACGAGAACCAAAAATCAAAGTTCAAAGTTCAGCAGAGCTGATCTTGGTACACGGAGCAAGAAAAAGAAAAGGACAAAAGCAGGAAAGGAGAAGGAGAAAACGGTTGCTGGCTGCTGGTCAGCAAACAAGTGCAACAAGGCAAAAATACAGGACCCTGAGGAAAGGAAGAAGGAATTTTGGAGCAGTTACTTAAGTCGCTCCCCCAAGGAAACGTCAAGGAGGAGTACCACTTTCTTCAATTTTTACATGGTCCTAGAGGTGATTTATAAAAATAAGTACCTATGCAAAAAAGTAATGAAGCGTATAAGTAGTGTAGCGAAAAGAATGGTATACTAATCTTTGCAAACCTAGGTTTTGTTTTACAAAAGATAATCATATATATTGATTGTAACAGTAGATTATTGCATACTGGAATTTAGCTATACCAGAAAATTAAAGAAACAAAATGTAGTCGGCTACAATGGAAGGGCATTTCTAGCCACCAAATGGGCTACCATATTACTACTCTGACCTACAAATCCCACATTAAGCCCGGTGTGAATATTCTAACGACGCAAGATTTCCTCAAGGATGGCCCCTGTCCGATTGACCCTGGTATCTGCCTGATTTATTTTATCAATGATCACTTTGGCATATCTGCAAACCCATTCTCCAGACACCACAAAATAGCCTCCCGGAGAATAAGGAGCTCGACTACCATATGATCATCAATTTCAGCAAATTGCACCCCTTTCGCCAAAATGACAATCCCTTCTTGGTTCTTGATCATAATCATTCCTCCTGCTAAATGGGGCGCACTCTTTGTCGCCCCATCCCACATGGAGATAACTGAAGTATGGTTCCCGCCACTCAAGTAACTCGCTTGTGGGATGGACAACTGCACAACACGGTCGACAGACAACCTAATCAACTCCTGATACTTTTGGTGAAATTGTCGCATCAAAGTTGGAATCCCAAATTGTTTTCCCTCAAAGACAACTCATTTTGTGACCGCCAGATCCTCCAAAGGGCCGCGACAACTTCCATAAACAGTTGAGGTTGATGTATAAGTAACATCAGCTTGTTAAGGAAGAGCGGAAATGTGTGACGAGGAAACCCTTGCCCAAGATATTCGAGACTAGTATGATCTCATATTACCCTTGCCATAGAGAAATCAAGAAACAAATGTTCCATTGTTACTGATTCTGCCCCAGCAAATCGGACACCTGGGAAGCACTTGAACTTCCTTCTCAATTAGGGCTTCTGTCGTTGGGAGGATCCGGTGGAATATTTTCCATAAAACACCTTAATTTTGGGTGGCATATGGGATCCCCACAAAACATATCCAACTTGACATATCCATCCAACTAGCCGTGGATCGCCACCGACCAACCTGCTTATCTAGGAAGACTGCTAGATGATAGGCCGATTTTATAGTGAAAATCTTGTCACACGTATCATACCATATTAGCCTATCCTCACGAGGAAGAGGGATTGCTTTGATGGCATGACAAGTAGCCGAGTCAAACCACTGGCTGAGTTTGATGTCACACCATCGCCCCTCGCATTTGGAAAATCACCTCCGCCACCTTCGGATCTCTATCCTGATGTAACACCTGGGGATAATGCATAGGGGTATGGGGGTGTAGCCGAGTAATCCCATTTGAGTGTAGTGTTGAAGTTGTCCTCCCATTACTAATCTGTCACCGTAGCCCCTTCACTAATAACTGCTGTCCATACAGGATACTCTGTCATCCCCAAGATGGCCGAGACAACGTAGTAGCAATCAGAAAGGTCCCTGTTGGAAAATATTTCAAATTTTGTTTCTTAATTATTTTTAGTTTTCATTGACATAAATGTTTAATTTGGACATCTAAATTTTATATTTTAATTTCTTAAGAGTTTTTAGTCTTTGACTTACATTAATTAAATTCTTTAATGTTTCATTTTGAAATTTTAATAATAATTTTTGATATATAATGAGTAAATTCTTTATAGCGAGATTCTTTTTTACTTATGTAAACAGTGAAAAACACCTTATGCATTGTGTGTTACAAATTTTTGTTGGCGGTCAACTCGTTTATAATCAAAATAACACGGAAAATCCTATATTTGATTAAATTAAATTTTCTCAAATACCATATTGAGTGATAATAATAATTATTATTATTATAAAAAAACTTTTCTTAATATTGATATTTTTTGTATTTTCTTGTTTCTTTGATAATACTGGAAAAATATTGGCTCCAATACTCAAAACCCTAACTATGCCCTTACCGGTGAAACGTACGATTGGAGGACCAACAAGTACTTACTTACATATTATCAATACGCATGCTAATCGAGTTGGGCGAGTTTAGCTCATGAATATTTTTGACATTTTTTACTTAACTTAGAAAGATTCCATTAATTAAACGATCAAACAACAACCTCTTGGGCGATTACATTACTCATAAAGCAATGTAAACCATCAATCTAGTAACTTCATACGAATCATGAGGGATAAGGTGAATAATGGCATGAGCTGTGCAGTTTGAATCATGGTAGGAGAAGAACTGGCTTTGAAAATCCAAAAGCTTTCCAAGAGCAGCAATATCACTCTAGGTACTTCAAAACTTAGTTATGTACTCACTAAAATGTTGAATGCCATCAAGAAACTTATTGCAATAATCATACTCAATAACCGACTGGCTTATTCCTTTCTCTCGAGTTTTAGTAAGGATGTATAGATTTTTCCTACCTTCAATGATCATAGGAGACAATATTTCAATTTCACTCATGTTCGCATCCAAACCCACCTTTATGTTCAAGTCACTAATAACACAACCAAGAATGGAGTTTCCTCTTCTATTTACACTTGCATCATTGTTGAGTTTCGAAACTTCAATGGGAGGATTCTTCCAACCATAATATCTTATATTTTACTCCTAGAAGAAATTGTAAGCTTCTAGAAAGATTTCCAACTCCTAAAATGTTTGGTTCTTTCCAGATAAGCCACAACATT